GCAAAATGGATGTGATACCAAGAATGGAAAGCTAGAGTCATGCGAGCACGACCTTCGAAAACCCTATTCTCACTTAAAAGAAAAAGTTCATTAATTTCAACTAAATTGCTTAAACAACAATTTTATACATTTGCATAGGCGTTTGTGTCTAATATAAGGAGCAACGACTATAGCTGCTGGAACAGATGGACTGATGGGCATAGCTATATCGATTCATATCTTCATAGATTTCAAAAACATACTATATAGTCTGTGGGGTCTATCCCGTCTGTTTCTGAATGTCACAAACATTCGTACTAAAGTACCTTGCTACCGTTAGTGTACAGGGTATTAAAAGCAGTCGCATATTTAGACCAAATTGACATTTGCAGGTAGCTTAGCTGGGCAGCCGGCTAACAGCTATTTGCCGAGCGACATGCTGCCAGTGTTCGACATTAATCCCCAGCTTTTTGCATATGTCAGCAGCGCTTCACTTTCAGGAGAACAAAATGTGCACGAAGCTCTCAACCAATGCTTGTAAGGGATATTCAATATTTGTTTGGACTCATTTCCACTTGACACCAAATATTTATAACATCTAATTTCCAATTTTCTAGTTTACATCTCTCCCCAGATAGCTGCTGGCAGCAAGAAGGACAAGTCAAATAAATTGTCAACTAAACTTTCTGAGAAGTCTCACTTATACTCTTATGACACCATTCCAATCAAGATTAAAACTTAATTTAAGTAATAGCAACTATCGAATTTTTTTGCTGGCCAAACAGATCAACAATTTTTTTCTGGCAGGTGCTAAGAAAAGCTTTCACTTAGCCCTCAAATAAAAACTTGTCTATACTTTGGAAGGAGTGTATGTTTGCAACATATATATAGATAGATGGATATCACTAATTGGATTATTTTACCATTTTCCTTCAATTTTTATAAGATAGAAATAGAATTGAAGGGCTCTTTTCCTCTCCTTCTCTCAACGCGTCTGCTCGAACTGTTTATATACATTTTGTTTGTTTCCACAATTTCGTCCCTTAAATATGCCGAATATGTTTGATCTAATGGAAAGTGCAGAATGATAACGCAGAATGATACACTTAATACGTATTGGGGTAAGATTTGTTTTCAAATTTCTTTTCCAAACCAATAACAAATTATTAGGCATTTGAATTCGACTTGAACTCAAATCCACATTGCAAAATATAAATACTATCTTTTTGTATATTCCATCATATTCGGGGTTTACTTTAAAATGTTTACTCATCAATTTCAATGGAGTATTTTTCACCGGTGCAACGCACACATGGCGCATCCCAGAACACTGTTCATACACAGGAGATTTCCAGTAACAACAACGGATGCTTAACCCTTCGCAATAACAAAGGCACACACATATATATCCACATGCGCAGCAGTATAGAGTAAGTCTTTGCCTGTCAAATTAATATCGTACTTTATGCGCCGCGGGGTGTCTTCCTCTATGCTTAAAAAACGTTGCATGAAGCGCAGTATGGTGTCCTTTTTTTATGGAACTGGGACGTCCTGCCAAATTAAAGTAGCTGCATATTTTACGGCGAACAAGTTGTAGCCGCGACAAGCTGCCTACATCTATTCCCGGACATTATAATTCTACTCAACTGCAGTAAAATAACAACAACAACAACAATGGTATTTGTAAAGTAGCCCATGGTAACGGAGCCAAAAAGTTCACACAAAAAGTTGTTGGCGCGAAATTTGAATAAAGCGCGCAAATTGAATGAAAAGGCCACCACAGCTCAAGCAGAAAAAATGCCGGCCGTGATAAAATCATGATGGCTTTTTCTCTTTTTTCCCTTCTTCGCATTTTTCACGTTTGTGTTGTTCGTGTATGTATTGTTGTCGCTGTTTTTGTTGCTCCTCGCTTTGTTCGTATTTTGCGATCTATGGCCAAGTGGCGAGCGGATGGTCGGCTGCAATGCGGCTAGCTGAAAATAAATTTTTATTGCACGAACGATTTCAATAAGGGGCCGGGCGGCTTGGGAGCTTGAAGTATGGCGTACATTTCTTAATTAAACAACTTTTGGTTTCTGTTTTGCTTAGGCAATAAAGAAAAGTTTAAATAGGAGAGGCTCAGTGTTTGTTTATTTTAAAGCCAAGAGCAATCAGTTTTCCACCTCTCTGTGATATTGTTTTAGTTGCAATTGAACGTACACGAATAACTTCCTTAACGACATCTGAGTATTTACCGCAGTTTATATAAGCAAGCAAACATTCATAAATACATATTACTCATACGCACCATCTATACTGATTTCTATGCGCGTATTTTTATTAACAGCACGCCCAATCCAGTTTGGCTTATTTAATGCAATTTATGTAAATTTATGGCATCAATTGTAGCGTAAAAATTTCCAGCCGGCAAGCCACAGCCACCCAGGCAGCAACAAAAGCATTACATTAAATCAAATTTGAATGCATTGACCACACAACGCATTACGCAAACATAATGCGCCCGATAGAAGATTGTCTATGTATGAGTGTGTATGTGTACTATACCCATACAATGTAAGTATATGTATACATGCATGCTTTATCAATGAGAATTGAATTAAACTTTATGCATTTGCTGAATAAGGGCATAAATTATGATAAAAACATAAAATAAGTGGGCGTCGGAGCTAAAGCAAACTAAAACGGAAGTTCAAGTTAATTAAGCTGCATGGCCGAGCAGAGAAAACGGAACTGTGGAGTGAGGAGAAAGAAGCAGAACGATGCTGAGAATCGAGGCAGGCACAATTCACGCTACGCTGAACTATTTCTTTCCTTTTAACGAAGCCAAGCACCTTAAAGTCTCATCTGAGGCATCCAGATTCTCCTAGGTCAGAGCAAGGACGAATTTATTTTATTTTTTGGATAGTTGCGGAAATGTAAGACATATAGACTACAATTAGTTTTGCAAATAGTTCACATTCAAGATTTGTATTACTCTAGTGTAAAAGGGTATTATACTTATTTAAATACGCATGAATGTAATTATTGACTAGTGTCAAGACCGATCTCAGAAAGAATAAGAGCTAGATATGTCTGAGCAAAGTCGCTAAAAAGCGTAACAAAATTGGTTTTTGTAATGGTCGCTTGCATTAAAATTGAATTTTCTACATTTATCGCAGCTCGGTGCTACAAAATTTTAACCGTGGCTATAAAAAGGGCTAATATTTGTCCCAAAGCTTCAGGCCGTTATCAGCTGTATTACTCCGAAAGCTTTTGGTTGTACAACTCTGGCTTTTGGTTGGAATACAAAGCGCAACCGACTTTACGTATTTCCCTAGAATCAGACTATAAAAGGCCTGCTCGTGCTTCAAACTCCCTCTTTTGATCGACATACTTCAGGCCTATAACCACGCCGTATCCACGCCCGCAACCAAAATCAATTCCAATGGGAACCAACCTTCACTGCGGCTGGTCCTTCTATTTGCAACACGAGGTTCCAGCGCTGCGTATTCACAGAAGGCATCTGGGACTAAAATTTCTATATATATAACTTATAATTATATTTCAAGCATTATTAACTGATATGGTATAACTTTATATATATATACCTGCAATGTATATAAATATATTGTAAATTATATTTCCACATTGATTCGCTGATAGTTGCCAGTAAACTCTTTAAAATTTTTTTTTTTTTACGATCTTTTGCTAGTTGTATAAGCTCCGATATAAATAATACCCGTTATTAAATAGTTGGAATCCAGATTCTCCTAGGTCCGAGAAAGGACGAGTTTATTTCATTTTTTGGATCCTCCCCCTTATATTTTTATTACTAGTTTCATTACTGTTTTCTTCAGAAAAAATATTTTAGTATTATCTCCGAACTTTGATATATAGTATTTGTTTACTAAGGTACTTATAACGCCGGGAGTAATTTTGTTTATATTTGAAGGACTGTCCCTCATTGAACTGAAAAATTTTTGCTTTCAAAATAAATATGCTCTTTCAGTTCCCCTTTTCAAGTACATAGATAACACTAGTTAACAAAATTGTTCACAATAACTTAAGGGGTATACTAGACCCACTAAGTTCTCGAATATTCATGACCAGTCTGGCGAGATGCGATTTCTCCTGTTTCCGACAGAACACAACGATGTATAAATAAAGCCCACTCCGTAATTCTTTGAATTTCAACCTAAAAGTTTTAAAATATTTAAGAGTATTTTGTTTTTGTTGTGTTAGTTTATAATGACGTCCTGGCGACCATCACAGGGTGTTCAGCCGCGATGGAATACAGTCGCTTAGACTAGGTTCTAGGTTCTATCCAGGGCCACTGAAGGCCAACCACCATTAAAAATGCAACATTAAGACATAACTTCATTCTATTTCTTGAACCCAAACCTTTAATTTTGAAGCGACTCTGCCCGGCGAAAATACCCAGGCCAGAACTACGTTACAAGTTTGTAAGACCCAGAAGGTGGCCCACAGATATATCTATGATGGAAATGGCGAGTCCAAATCGCGCTTTTCGTCTTAATAAAAACTTCTCCCACCGTCTTTTTGGAAGCGGCCATGTCGTCTATACATTAGAGACAATGTGATTTTGAAATAGTTTTTATATGAAATCCATTTTGTTTTTCACGATATCAGAGAATGTGTTGTTAATAAATGTATTGCAGTGCATGGTGACCATTTGGTGACCAAATTCAAAGTAAATTTTAGAAAATGCTTTCTCCACCCACCAATAATAGTTATGACTGTACTCTAAAAAATTAATTGTAATTAATTAAATAAAAATATTAGATGAAGATTTGCCTGCTCGATAAGATAATTCATGCATACCCCTTAGGCATGGAGGGATGACGTTTTTATGGTAATGCACAGTGAAGAGTTTCAAGATTGGTAACTCCTCCAGGTGAGTAACTCCTTGCTCGTTTCACTTGTTTCATTGAAGAGAAAGTTTTTGTGAGCAGTCCTAGCAGTCCAACAGCAATGTTTTAAATATTTACAAAGTAGATTTCGATATAAATTTCAGTTAAAAAATCAATAGTGCACAATCTTTTGTTGTTATTTTCTATTTCCGTCCTCTTAGTCATGGCACTGATCTACTACGACTTAACCATTGGCAATGCCTACGAGCTCGTGCTTTCGGGTCTCCGTGAATCCAGCAAGGCCACCACAATTTTGGAACTGGGCCATTTTATTACCAACAAGACGGACTTTCCAGCTGGCGTCTGCTATAAAATCATCATGGAAGCTCTAGCCGAGGGTATAAAGCGCAAAACTATTCGGCAAGTGGGCGAACGCTATGCTGCAGTGCCGCCAAATCCAGTCAAATTGTCCAGAACTGTCAAATAAGTGGGCGAATGGCTGCGAGCTGCCATGTAATCTGATCTGGATGCGAGCACCCGGCTGTGATAATTAATTCATAACTCCAAGAGCAGCAGCAGCTTGAGTGTAGCAGAAGTGCAGCGCAAACACTTTATTAAAATTAAAATTTATATAAATTGCGGCGGCAAGCCATTTTGTCATCATACCATATACCGAGCACTTTAACAACTTCAGGCGACGCTAACGACGTCCACGTCCGCGTCGACAATGACAAAGGCGCATGATTTAAGCACAAAAGCTGAAGTAAAGTGACTGGGAGCGAGCAGCTTTTGTTGTTGTTGTTGTTGTTTTTGTTGAGGATGTTGATGTTGTTGCTGATACTCACCGCATCAAGTCTGACTGTCAGTCAGTCAGTCAGTCAAACGTCAGCATCTTCATCTTCATCTTCGTCTGCAGCTGCAGCAGCAACAGCAGCTGCCTTAGCGGCTTGTTGAGCGCTTTAGCATTGCTTAAGCACAAGAAATTGAAAGCTTGTCGCGCTTTGTGCCGCAGAGTGGCTTGTGAGAGGCACACACACACACACACACGCACACACACGAATATACAAACACATAAACAGACACCTGGAAAAATATAGAATGCAAAGGCGCATATTCAATGTGTCACTTTGATTTATTACTTTTGACAGCTCGTCTCCTTCTTCTCCTCCGCTTTCTTTTCTATGCTACTGCACTTCAATTTGCGCCACTGTGCATCTGGCATAAATCACACAATGTGCATCTGTCGAGAGTGTGTGAGTGTGTGTGTTGGGGAGTGCCTGCATGATAAGTGTGTGGTTAGCAGACATCAGACAGCCAAGCAACTCATGCACAATTTTTCATTTCCTTGGCATTTTTTTCGCCTTCCTTTGCCTGAGCACTTCACATTTTTATCTCATTTATTTATTTTACAATTAGACAAAGTGAAGTGCACTTGCAGGCAGCTTATGGGGCGCTCCATGCATCGACCGACAGCAGATGCAGCGCCAGAGGGTTGCACGCTTTCCATCGGGGTAGAGGCCTCAATGTGTGTGGCAAGCCAAGGACGAGGCATATTGAATAACAAAAAACTTTGCCACATCAAATGGTATAGCAGCTTTAAATCACAAGCTAAGACGTTTCCGCACTCAACATATTTGGGCCCGCAAAAATGCTTTAAATTACCATTAAGCAGCATTGAATACTAAGAATAGACGCCCACACACGCACACACACACACACACACACACACACACATACACACACAATCACAAAGATACCTAGGCAGGCTTAAAGGCAGCAATGGCACAAAGCAATAATCATAAAAGTAGCCTGCACGCTTGCACGTCCTGCTGTCTGGACCGCCTTTCACAGCCATTCGCCGCCCCTCTGATATCCTGCCACTGCTGCCTGCTGCTACCTTTGCCTTAAAAAGTTTTCACATTGCCTTCATGCTGGAATGTTGTGCCAAAACAAATGGCAAACGGCTCAGGCGAAAACACTTAAGCGCAAGGTAAGTGAAAACTCAAATAAAAAAGCTGAGCGCAGAAAACTTTTACAATGCGGACAACGACACGCTTTAAGTTTCAAAAGTAACTTGAAGGCTATCTTTTAAATTTGTATGTATGTGTGCATACGGTGGATCCTATTCCAAATGAAACAAATATGGCCTAACAGCTAAAATTCTAAAAGAATAACATATGATTAGAATTTATCTATATATGTATGTATTAAATTATACAAGTATCATAAATAGCTGTCAATTGTCAAATATTCTTGCCTGCTTCTTATGTACTTTAGGTGCCCCATAAGACCAGAAAGAGGACTGTGGCCTGGCACTTGCGCTTCTCAGTAACACATGTTTTGGCATTGAAACCATATACTTTACTTTTCCTTCAACCCAGGTTAAAGATCGTGAATGCTATAGTAAAATGTTTATCATCGAATATTAAAAGAAATGAATTGGCGACCTAAAAGGGTTCATAATGAGTTGATATATAATTTTTCAGTTCATTAAAAAACGATTATAAATATTAATTATAAAACAAGAAACTACCTCTAGCCCTAAACAAAATAAAGTCAATACTATTCTCCAGTATTTAATAAAATCAAATAAAAGGGCCCAAAAAATAAAAGTTCTCGAATTATCAAGACAGTTCTATAAAGTACCCAACACTAATAGTTAAAACAAGATTTTTAAGCCTAATAGCATTATTTTGGAAAAAAATATGTATAGGACATCTTAAGAAATTGAAATGAATTGTAAATATATCACTAAGGCTACAATTTATCATTCTAGTGGACTTAAGGGACTTATACTGTACGGATCCACTTCGTATCTGGAGTGACTGAGCAAAGTGTGAGAAAAATCTGCAATATCTAAATGAGAAAAAATTCAATAAATCGCAAAAACTTTTAAAGCAACCTCAGCATTACCATTACATCGTATTTAATTTCGATTCGCTTTGCGTTCAGCTTTGAACCGTTTGCTTGCGCCTGCGGGTATGCAGCGCATTTTTTCAGCTGCTGCTCTTTTAACTCGTTTGATGGTTTGCAAAAGCCACTGGCCTGCAGTTTGACAATTATTGTCTGCAGCTCGTTGCGCAATTAGAGTGCGGTGAACTGTAGAATCACTGAAAGGTTTTCCAGCTTTGTGCTCTGCCTTTAAATTGTTGGCATTTGCGACCATGAATGTAATAAACAAAATATTTATCATATGTAGTAGCTACACATTGGTTAGATTAGTTTCAGAATGGTATGCAAATAAAGTGTTTCAGTGGTCTAAATATTGCTAATGTGTGTGTGGGGACCTGCTACCTTGTTTGCGACCATATTTGTGAGCAGACGCATCTATTTACTTTCATAATTATATACAAAGAGCATGAACGTTAATACAATTCCATTGCATTATGCAGACACTAATTAGGTTTTCCCATGTCACAGAATGGCCCACCGAGAACGTTGACCAGGTATATGGTGTTCGAGCGTATTGGACAACAATGTGTTTATTAGGCACATGGTTGTGCTCGCTGTCCAGCTGCTCAACAACTCTTGGCCTTTAACTAACAGGCTCTAGTCCAGCTTAAAGTCCAAAATTTGGGTCAAGCCTGAAACAGAATGCAGCTCGACAACTTTTTCGCTGTCCGCCTCCATGCAAGCTTGAAATGTCAACGAAAAGTCACAAACAACAAGCTGACAAACAGAGACGTAACGGCGGGCTTGTGGATTGGCAACAGAGACAGTGGAATTTTTCTTCGTTACAGAAATCACATATCCTAGACAAAAAATAATGCATTGGGAATAAATTTTCCCCTGCTGGTAAATGGTTGAATTTATCAAAACCCCTATTTTTTAATTAGTTCAAATTAGTGTATAGTATTTATTATAAGAAACAATCGAAACTATTAATTTATAGAGAACTTATAGTTTTAAAACATACGCTCCTTAGTTTTAGAATAACCAAGCATTTTGTAGATGACATTTATTGATTGAATTAATGATATTTTGAAAGTTTTTTTTTATTATGAATATTAATTGGACTATTTATTTATAGAGAACATATAGTTTAAAAACATGCGCTCCTTAGTTTTAGAATAACCAAGCATTTTATAGATGACATTTATTGATTGAATTAATGATAATTTAAAAGTTTTTTTTCATTATGAATATTAATTGGACAGACCTATTTTACTCGGTAGCTTTAACTGGTGCTGACCAAATTTGTCGTAGCTTATTTATTATTATTATTAGTATTAGACGTTTTTGAATGCTTCCACCTGCTTTAACCAATTTAGTAGTAAAAAGTATAGCACTGAGCTGGAATACAATGAATTGTTTATCCTTCCCTTTCTTTTTCTCTTCATTCAGCTAGATTTTCTGCAATTAGCAATATGTGATCAACAATTTCGTTTCATCTTAAAGTGGTATGCGATTATTCGCAGTTTGAGGCAAAAAAATGTAGACATGGCTGACATTTCTAGAATCAGTTCAAACTGAGTCACTGTGCATTACTGCCGCCTGTCCAAAAATTTGAAATTCGACCCAATTTGCTCTGCAATCGTAACATGGCACATTTCGACACATATCTGCACCTACGGCACGACTGAAGGACTGGAAGCAGACATATTGCCGAGCTCGGCACATTCCACATATGCAATGTTGTCAGTCAGCCGTGCACAGAAGCCCCCTGTCCCTCTCTCCGTCCCGATACTCTGTTGGCCCAGTTAATCCTTCGTTGCTATAGGCCGACTAACCAATTTATGTGGAATGGGGGTATTTGCCATTTTTCAGCCTTGTCATCATTAGAGGCTTATTTGCTAATTAACAAGAGTCCGTTCCGGTTCTGCGTGGAACATTTTTTGTTGGTCGAGCTGCTAAATGAAGTTTATTGCTTTAATTGAGTGTCCAGCAATAGAGTGCATTAAAAAAGTAAACCGAATTGCATTTTTTTGTATTATTTAATTTTGTGGCATTATATAAATCGACACCATTTTGCATAAAAGTTTAAAAGCGGTTTATTTATTTTACAATTAAATCACAGTAAGCGTACAAAAAATGTCAGGGAATTGCCAACGTTGATGTTCAAAAATGTTCAATTGAAATAAAAAGCTGCTTTTGATATTTTTATTGATGCTCGCTTCCATGGTCGGTCCATTTAGCAATTCGTTTTCAAAAGAGTGTGAATGTTTGCGTATTCATTAACGCGTATTAAATAAAACTAGCAAGTGTAAAAATGTATACCATCTATGAATAAGCTGATAAACGTATCTATTACTACGAATACTCAAAGAGTCTCTGCACAATTTCAAATTGCTTTAAGCATATATATAATTTAAATTTAAAGCCTAAAGTATAGGTTTCTGTTATAGGCTTATATGCTTAAAGGTAAATAGTGACGAGATATATTTTAGACTTACGATATGTTGCAAAAATAATGTACATAAATACAAAAAGTTCTAACGCATGAGGAAACAAGTAAAAAAGCTAAAGTCGGGTGTCCCGACTTTGAAATACTCTGTACATATGTTTACAATAATTATAGAAAAAAAAAAGAAAATTTTAAAAAATTTGATCGATTTTACCTTTCTCAGTATTCGGTATACAAAGCAATCGCATTTGCGGGGGAGAGGGGGGAGGGAGGGAAATTCCAAAATATACATTTTCTGCGTATTCACACAAGGCATCTGGGACTAA